GGATTCTAAGGTGATTGTGGGCTGGATGTCAAATCCAGACTCAGTTGATTGGAGTTATAGGGATCACATAAAAAAGGTTAAATGTTCAACAAGACACATAACGTGTAGATACCAGTGGGTGGGTTGGGAGGCAAATGCTTTGGCTGATTATCTTGCTAAACAGGGGTCTGCTAGGAATCAGTTATTTTGGGCAGCCTTGTAATCTTTATTTCTGACCACCTGTAATGTTTAGGGGAGGCTGCATCTTGTGCCTCTCCAAGGGATTCTTGTAAAGCTCTATTCTTCTTGATTAATGAAATCAATTTTCAATTATTAAATAAAAAAAGCAGTTCAAAGTTGGCCAAAATTGCTCTCAAATTTAAAACCTACTCAACCGAAGCATCCAGGAAAATCAAAGTATCATCTGCAGTATGCAGATGAGAGATAGACCATCTCTACATACCTTGAAACCTTCTATCAGACCCAACTGACCACTTTTCTCCAATAACATATTCAACATCTCTATAACCAATACAAAAAGCATAGGAGAAATTTGGTCCCCCTGTCTCAACCCCCTTGAAGCTTGGAAAAATTCCATACATATCCCATTTAAAAGTATTGAGAAGGAAACTGAAGATACACAATTGTGTCCTCTTAGTTAGTAAAGGAGCAACAGGAGGATAAAGTGTGTGCTGATGAGTCTGCTGCCGGTAAGAGTGCAACAATGCAAAACAACGGTGGCGTTGACAATAAGACAGGGAACAGGACTCTTCAGAACCTGGTGAGTAGAAAGGTCACAGTTGGTAAGAGCCTGGGTTTATTTTTCTGGGGTGGTGAGGAGTTTGAAAGAAGGAAAAGGGAAGAGAAGATGAACATAAAACCTAATCCGGATGGTGGCAAGTGCTGGGACGAGGATGTTTCAGGCCAGGAGGATGTATTTGTGGTAGAAGATTGAGGCTTGGGTCGTGAAGCAAGGAGGGTTTAAGTTTTCTGCTTAGGGGTGGGTCTGGATGCTTTTATTCCATTGGGGATCTCTTGGTTTATGTTATTGGCTTGCCTTAGAGATTGTTTTGAGAAAAGTTGTAAATTTTTGCCATTTGGTTTTAGGGGTCTTAGTATGGGATCTTTGAGATCTTTGTTGGGCTCTTGGGTTTTTTTCTTCTTCGGGTGATGTCTTATCACCTTCCTTTTGTATTCTTTTTCCCTTTTTAATGAATTTTATCTTATTCTTCAAAAAACAAAAAAGATACACAAGCAAACTTCCAGCCTCTCCACTTCTCTCCAAATCCCATTAACCTTTTGAATTTCTTCTAAAACTCCCCATTCTACATGGTCATAGGCTTTCTCAATGTCTAACTTACAAACCAAACCTGCTCTTCCACTCCTCAGCCTAGAATCAATACATTCACTTGCCACTAGAACTTCATCCAAAATCTGTCTACCTTCCACAAAAGCTATCTAGGTTTCTCCCACTACCTCATGCAACACTTTTCTGAGCCTATTTTATAATATCTTGGCTAATAATTTGTAAGGACTACTGATTAAGCTTATTGGTCTGAAATCCTTCATATCCACAACACCATCCTTCATTGGAATCAGAGATATAAACATGACATTAGCCATTTTCTCAAACTTTCTCTCCCTATAGAACTCATAGTTGTCAAGGCGATGCCTAGGTGACAAGGTGCCCTTGGAGGCTCGCCTTGCACAGTCGCCAAGTAGTTTTGTGCACTAAATACTTTTATATTTTTAATTTTTTGACATTATAATTATAAAATAGGCATTATTAAACTAGAATACTCATTTTATGTGTTTATGTACTAATTTCTTTTTATTATTTTCTTATTTGTTAGGGTTTAATCAACACAAACATTGCTAACTACTGTATCGAACCCATGGTTCAAAGTATCGATACACCTCTGCCAGTACTTATAACGATACTCCCCCTATTTTTTTTTTTATTTCTTTGGTTTTCAATTTCTTTTTTAAATACACACACACACACACATATATATGTATTATTTTAAAAATGTGTTCCCAAAAACACCTGTAAACATGTGTATTGGGGTGCCAAAGATACAATACAATACACCCGATACAGGGCGTATCGTATCGAAGTTTTGATCATTGATTGAATCCTCAAAGATTTCAGAACCTGAACCAATAAGCAAGGGAAGAACTTAAAATTTTGTCTAACCAACACATTTTCTTCTTACAGATCTTCTTCTTTTTCTTCCACCTTTTCTTTTCTTCTTTTCCTATAACAAAAGTAGGGGTTCAGCCCCTATATTTTTTGAATTTTCTTTCCTTTGTTCCTTTTCTTCTCATAAAATGTTGATTTTCTAAACTTAAAACATGAAACTTATACTTCTCTTATGAAAATTATGGATAATTATTAAGGAAAGATGGTTATGGAACCTAGGGAACTACCCTAGGATATATGGCTTTACTTAAAAAAAATCCATCGCCTAGGCGACAAGGCGCCCCCCTGTGGCCTAGCCTCGCTTGGTGCCTTAAAAACTATGATAGAACTCCTTGAACATCTGGTCAAACTCTCCTTCCAACTCATCCCAGAAAGCCTTAATAAAAGAAAAGATAAAGCCATCTGGTCCTGGGGCCTTATTCCCATTTATATGCTTTAATGCCTCTTTAGTTTCCCTGCATCTCAAGCTTCTATTCAATCCAATTTCCTGAAAATTCGCTTAGCTTCTTAGGCACCAGCTCCCCAAGGAACATCAACTTCATAATCTCAAGGTATACAAATTCTTGTAGTATCTTACCACCCTCTTCTGAATTTCATTCCATGTCTCCACCACTTCCTCACCCATGTGAATTTTGAAGTCAGGTTCCTCCTAGCATTTGCATAGGCCTGAAAAAAGGTTGTGTTTTTGTCACCTGCTTTCATCCATGACACTCTTAACCTTTGCTTCCAACTCTCCTCTTCTCTAAGAATTAGCCTCTTCAATTTAGATTCTAGACCTTCTCTTTCCATCTTTTCCTCAGTAATTGTTCCTTCCTCCTTCAATTTGTCCAGAAGAGCCATCTTTTCTAGAATCTCCTTCTTCCTGTTCCCAACATCCCTAAAAACATTTTCTTCTCCAACCCTTGATCTCCTCCTTCAACTGTTGCAACTTCCTGACCACCCTGAATCCTGCAGACCCTTCTACTTGCACCCCCCCACTTATCTTCCACCACTCTCGAAAATTTGGATGATCAAGCCACATGTTTTCAAACTTAAAAGGTTTTGGGCCAACAATGACCAAAAATTGGTTAAGCACAATTGGCTTATGGTCTGACGTAAAGAATGACAAAGTTACTTGCACCATACCTCCAACATGCTCTTCCCAGTCACCTGAATAAAGAAACCTATCCAACTTTCTTAGGATAGCTTGGMATATCTCTTTTGTCCAAGTAAATCTACAATCACTTAAGGAGGACCAATTAGACCATTCCTCCTTATGAACTCGCCTAACCTTCTCATCCCCAAATTTTCTCTCTCCTCCCTTCCCCCCTTCATCTCCCCAATCTTCTTACCAAGTTGAAGTCACCCCCAAACATCAAGGACCCCCCTGCCTTACCCCCTCCACTTCCTCTTAGAATTCCGCCATTTTCTCTTCTTCATTTGGACCATACACATTTGTAAGTCCCTACTTTCACTCCCCTTCCACCATCTGGAAGCAAATCGAAGTTGAAAACACCCCCTTCCTTTCTCCAATTTTCCTAAGAACCTTTGGATCCCAAATGACCACTAAGCCCCCCTGAAAGACCCATAGCATTCACCTCCACCCATTCTCACTGTTAGGCCGCCAAATTTCATTTTTTAATCTCCAATCAAATGTCTCCAACTTCGTCTTTTGCAACAACAAATTGTCTAGATTGTGCTTTCTCAGAACATTCCCAAAACCCCTTCTCTACACTCTAAAAATCTCCACCTTTTACTCTTTGTCCACTATTCCTTCTTCCTCCCCTTCTCCTTCGTCCCACATCTCACCCCTCCCCAGTAARTTTCCTTTTATTGTGTTCTTCCCTTCTGTTTCTCTCAAAAGTGTTTTTCTAGGTTGGAGCATGTGACTGGTGTTAATTATTTTCAAGGAGGCTTCCCAGTAGAGTGCTTTGGTTTTAGGAGGAATTGGGTCAACCCAAAGAGCTTTAGTAAGAAAAGAATTAGGGGAAGAGGGAGCATAGGCTTTAAAGAAAGTATGGCATGACAAAGACCCCAAAGAATTAAGATACCAATATCTTTAATCCAAACCATTTGGGTTTGAGGCAATCCAAGTGGACAATGGTGTCCCTGCTTTCATGGTACCCAAAGCCTCTTGTAAAACCAAAGTCCTGAGAAAGGCAAAATCTGAAATAGGTTTGCCACCCACCTAAATATCCTCCCAAAATCTGATCCTTTGACCCTTTGAGTATATAGAACTGTTGTTTGTTTTTGTTTTTTTCTGAATTTTCAGTGCCTTAGTTCCAAAATGGAGAGCTACTGCAGGTGTCTTGGCTGTAAATGGAACTAGAGATAAATCATGTCAAAACAAAATTCATAATTGTATGTATTATGATATATTTAATATTAGCATTTACCATTAGAGTTTTCATGTGCTAGTTGTTATTTTTTGATAAGTAATAGTTTATTATTAATAATGAATGGAAATTCCATACAGAAATAAGAAAAGGACATTTACCAATGAATACCTCAGTCTTTCCAGTACTTTTAAAATGACAACGTTATATTTCTTCCCACAAATTTTCATGTGCTAGTTATTAATTGTTATTATTAGTTTGCTTCAACAGAATAGTCATTGTTTGATTATGGAAGTGATTCTATGCTAATTTGGGGGTGTTTGGCAACATGGTTGGTTTTGTTTTTGAAAACAAAACAACTGCCACTGCCACATCAACAAAAGCAATATAATTTTGCTGATGTGGCAATTGTTTTTGTTTTCAGAAACAAAACTAATCATGTTGTTGAACACCCCCTTAGTTTGATCTGTTGAGTGGGGCTCTAAAATAACCACTGTTTTCAGGATGAATCAGTTTTAATATGGTTCTCAGGGAAAGAGGAGAAACACCTTAAACTAAGTCATGTATCCAGAATTATACCTGGTCAGCGCACTGTAAGTTTTTCCATGTCATCTCCTATGTCTATTCCATAGTTATCTTGTGACAGCTATAATTATTTGAGAAGAATGGTAGGATATGCCTGTAGTGTTGGTGWTTTTGCAGCAAATAAACAGCAATTTCTGTAAGATCTCAGAATTTGTTTTGTCTTCTTTTGCATTGACAAAATTGATTGTGTGGAATAAACTTATTTCTTAAATTTCTTTGAGCTACATATCTTTCTTATTTATATATTAACACTATCATCCACCATTATAATAATCTATGCTAAAATAAAAAGTGGACATAACTCACAAGGTTTCTGTACTTCCTAACTAAAATCTCTTTCTGAATTTCATTCCTCTCTATTGCGAGGGCAAAAAAGGTAATTTGAATACTTCTTTTTAGTTCACTCCATCCCTCTCATTAAGTCCCATATTTTAAGGTATCAACTCCAATTCTCTCATTAATTGCTCTATTTGAGGTATTTTTGTTTCTCATCATTGAATTTCACAAATTAAATCCACACACAATAAAACTACAGAAAACAAATAAAATTTGTAAAAATTTTTTGGCACATCTATAATATTATATTTGTCATATTAAATGAAAATAATGTACGAACGACGGTGATGATGATTACATTTGACAAATAATAAGTATTTTATTAATAATGGAAATGAAATATAAAATTTAAAACCAATCTGGAAATGAAATCATTTTAATATTTGGGTAGTGGGTTATAATTTGGGTTAAAATGGATCAACCCATGATTTCATAATTAAATTATAATTTTAAAATGGAAAATAAAAAGAATCACAAAAATWAAAGAATTATAGAAAATGAGTGTGATAAACAAGAATTAGTTTTATTAATGATGTAAATAAAATATAAAATGTAAAGCTGTTCTGAAAATGAAACCATTTTCTTATATAGGTGGTGGGTCAATGGTCCAACCTTTTCACTCAAATGATTCAATTAATGATGTCATAATTAAATATATAATATATTTAAAAAAAGATGGAACACAAAAAATTAAAACGTACAGAATTTCGTAGAAAACATTTGGGACACATCTCTAATATTATAAATTCATCATATTAAATAAAAAATGTGAAAAATAAGAATTTTTTTTAGTAATGATGGAAATTGAATACAAAATATAAAATTGGCCCAAAATAAAAAATGATTTTTCCATCCATGTGGTGAATCAACAATTGAATTGTCCAAGTCAAATGTGTCAACCTATGATGTCATACTAATAAAAATTTAAAAAATAGGTAGAAATAAAAATATAAAAAAACTTGTAGAAAATTTTAATTACATCTCTAGTTTTATGTATCCATCATATCATATTAAAAAATAAGTGTGATAAATAAGAATTTTTTTTTTGTTAGTGATGGAAATGGAACAAAAAATAGGAGAAAAGAGAATTATAGTATGACCTATGACTCCACCGATTGGGTTAAACAGTTCATTGGTTCAATTAGCTAGGTCAACAACATAGTGGTCAGGCTGCTGGTTCTTTTGCAAGCAAGCAGTTTGGTGATGGACCCAGAGTGCTGGTCAAATGATGGTTTGACTAGTTCAATTAGTTGATTTACCACTAGGTAAAATAATACTGATAAAAAACCAATGTAGAAATGACTGATAAATTTGCTGGTCTAACTTGGAATTTTGGGTTTCATAGAGGTTTAAGGGATGATGGATTTGCTTGTGTCTCTGAGCTCTTGCTTCTTTTGGACTCTGTTTGTTTGGACCTCTCTAAACATGATAGAAGAATTTGGACTCTAACTCCTAATGTCTCCTTTACTTGTGCTTCTTATTTCAAGTCCCTCTGTGCTGCCCCTCTTTCTTTGGGATTCCCTATCAAAGAAATCTGGTCAAGGCCCATTCCCACTAAAGTAGTTGTTTTCTGCTGGGAAGCCTTTTATGGTAAGATCAATACTATGAATAACCCGTGTGACAGTATGTTTCAGCAGTTCGAACCAGTAGAGAATGAAGGAGAGAGAGAGAGAAGAAAAAGACTAAACTGCCCCCACTTAAGTATGAATTATGTTCTAATTAGTGTTTCAGCAGTTCGAACCAGTAGTTGTTTCAGCAGTTCGAACCAGCAGTTCGAAACAGCCGAACATAGCAGGCTTAAACCTTACTAGTCGACCATAAGTATGAATTATGTTCTAATTAGTGTACAAAGACTAAACTGCCCCCACTTAAGTATGGGGCAAGATGACTACAGAAGTAATATTAGGACTGCCACATCAGTATATAACTTAAACATGAAGAAAAGACTAATCTACCCTTATTCGACCAACACTAACATTCCCCCTTAAGCTGGAGAATATATGTCATATAATCCCAGCTTGTTACATGTATAGTTCACTCTCCCTGAGCTCAAACCTTTTGTAAACAAATCTGCCCACTGATCACTTGAGCCCACATGTTCTGTGCTTATCTCTCCAGTAAGGACTTTCTCCCTCACAAAATGGCAATTAGTCTCTATGTGCTTTGTTCTCTCATGAAAAACAGGATTAGATGAGATGTGAATTGCAGTTTGATTATCACAGTACAATCTCATAGGTTTGTCCATTGAGAATCCAATCTCTTGTAGGAGATTTTTCAGCCATATTAATTCACATGTAGTGTGTGCCATGGCTCTGTATGCGGCTTCAACACTACTCCTTGCCACAACGGTTTGCTTCTTACTCTTCCATGTCACTAGATTTCCTCCAAGAAATGTGTAGTAACCTGTAGTAGATCTTCTATCCGACACTGAGCCTGCCTAATCTGCATCTGTATACCAACTACCTCAAGTCTTCCTCCTGGTTTGTATAACAACCCACGATCTGGAGCTCCCTTCAGGTACCTTATAATTCTAAGAACTGCATCCCAGTGAGGTATCTGGGGGTTCTGCATAAGTTGGCTCACCACACTAACAACAAAGGAGATGCCTGGTCTTGTGATGGTTAGATAGTTCAGCTTCCCCACTAACTGTCTATATCTTCCAGGATCATCAAATATTTCACATGTATCACTGCTCAACTTAGCATTTGGTTCCATGGGAGTTTCAGCTGATTTCGCACCTAATAGCCCTGTTTCATCCAGCAGATCAAGGACATACTTTCTTTGGCACAGGTTTACACCTTGTTTTGACCTGGAAACTTCTATACCCAAGAAATACTTCAACTTCCCAAGGTCTTTTGTTTGAAAATGGTCCTGCAGAAAGGCCTTTAGTTTGTCAATCCCCAATCTGTCACTGCCAGTTATGACAATATCATCCACATAGACTACTAATAAAATCTTCCCGGCTTCAGAATCATGGCTGAACATTGAGTGGTCAACCTGACATTGTTTCATTTCAAAATTTTTCACCACTTCACTAAACTTCCCAAACCAAACACGAGGAGATTGTTTCAACCCATAAATTGCCTTTTTCAGTCTACACACCTTACCATCCTCCCCCCGAGCAACAAACCCAGGTGGTTGCTCCATATATACCTCCTTCATAAGGTCACCATGTAGGAAGGCATTTTTAATGTCAAGTTGAAATAGGGGCCAATCATGCATAATTGCCAAGGAAATTAAGACATGGACTGAACCAATCTTTGCTACAGGAGAGAAGGTCTCCATATAGTCCACCCCGTACAACTGAGAATAACCTTTAGCAACAAGTCGGGCCTTCAAACGCTCCACACTGCCATCTGGAAAGTATTTAATAGTAGACACCCATTTACAACCCACAACATGCTTACCTGGAGGAAGTAGTGAGCTCCCACGTGTGAGTATGCTGAAGAGCAGAGAGTTCCTTCTCCATTGCTTGACGCCACCCGGGTGAAGTAAGGGCCTCTTAGACATTCTTGGGTATAGATATAAAGGACAACAGAGAGACAAACTAGTGATGTGAAGCGGAAAGGTAAGAGACCGAAACAAAATTGGAAATGGGATGTAGAGTACAACTACGTTTACCTTTCCGTAAAGCAAAGGGAAGATCAAGCTCTGAAGGTTCTGGGACAGGGGCAACAATAGGATCCGCAGACGAGGTAGAAGTTGGAGGAGGTGCCGGTGTCTGTCGATGAGTATACAAGTGTTGGATCAGTGGTCATTTAGTAAGAATCTGCACCGGAGGAGGTGAAGGTTCAGCCCCAACGGGAACAACCGGAATGGGATCACTAATTGGAAGAGGAAGAGGAAATAATGGTGGAGATGACAGTACTTCAGGTCCCGAGAAGAACGGTACAAACTCAAAAAAGGTGACATAAGGACAGACATAGGACTTCCGAGTGATGGGATTGTAACACTTATACCCTTTATGGGTCTGAGAGTAGCCAAGAAAGATACACTTAATAGAGTGTGCATCCAGCTTGTCTAAACCAGGACTCAGATTGCAAACAAAGCACACACAACCAAAGACCCGGGGTGTTAATGGAAAGGGAGACAAGGTGGGGAACAAAATAGAAAAGGGAGACCGATTGTGAAGGACAAAGGAGGGCATTCGATTAATAAGGAAACAAGCAGTAAGCACAACGTCACTCCAAAATCGTTTAGGAACATTCATATGATGAAGAATAGACCAAGCCATTTCAAGGAGATGACGGTTCTTCCGTTCAGCCACCCCATTTTGTTGAGGGGTAGATGCACATGAAGTTTGATGAATGATGCCATGTTGTTCCAAATATTGTTGAAAGGAAGTAGGAAAGTATTCATGACCATTATCTGAACGAAGAGCTTTTATTGGAACACCAAATTGTGTACGTATTTCAGCATGGAATTTTTGAAAAATGGAAAACAATTCACTCATTTCTTTCATTAAATAAATCTTTGTCATTCTTGAACAATCATCAATAAAAATGACAAAATACTTGTAATCATTATAAGACTTTTAATCGGACCCCAAACATCTGACTGAACTAAAGCAAAAGGACTCAACATACGACTATCAACTCTAGGACTGAAGGAAGCCCGATGGTGTTTCCCATACTGACACGACTCACACTATAAAGAAGACAAATGACTCAAA